CCTCATTGGAAGTCACGAAAAAGCGGTGGGTTTTTCGAGAAGTTGTTGATTGTGTAATTGCCGGAGAGTTTTTCGTCTTTTTGTAAGTGTTACTGAAGCGTTTGGCCTAGTAGATTGTATATCAGTATACCCTTCCAGGCTCTGAAGAAGGCGATACTGCCGAAACGTCAGCTAGCGTTGTATTGTATTGTGTTTTCTTTATGGAAGTAAATGTATGCTGTTTAAAAACCTCGCGATTGCTGNTTTTTGTAAGTGTTACTGAAGCGTTTGGCCTAGTAGATTGTATATCAGTATACCCTTCCAGGCTCTGAAGAAGGCGATACTGCCGAAACGTCAGCTAGCGTTGTATTGTATTGTGTTTTCTTTATGGAAGTAAATGTATGCTGTTTAAAAACCTCGCGATTGCTGAGCAAGAAAACGACACATTCTTATTTCAAATACTGTTTCCGGTGACCTTTTCTTTATGACGATCTGATAACCTTATGTCAAAGATTTCAAATACCGTTTCCGGTGACTTTATGATGATCCGATAAGAACATGGCTAACATTTCGCTGGCGGTTATCTTATGAAAAACATCTGCAGTTACAGTCCTATGCTTTGACTATCGCCTTATCAGATTGCAACGCTTGTGAAATGTTTCCAGCAGCCGTCCTTCCGCATACTGTAGCCTGACTCCACCTACTGTGACCCCACTCCACCTACCGTAACCCCACTCCACCTACTGTAACTCGACTCCGCCTATTGTAGCTTGACTCCGCCCAGCCCAAAGGGTATATAAACGGCTTCACGGCTGACTAGCTCAGGTCGCATCAATGCTGCCCATGTCACCACATCCTTTCCTCACATCGATCTCACGTGGTCGAAGTCATATGACAACATCTTCACTCTTGAGCAACCTGAACACAAGAAATCAGGCTGCACCTATTCACCACTTGTATCATTGTTGTATTAATAGTACAGTTATATTGCTATGCCATAATTGTTGTATAATTATAATAAACGGTTTAATTGCCCAAGTTTAAGCTTTCCGGCATTGTGACTGCTACTTACAAGAAGTCCCGCGTGGCGTACACAAAGGCGAGCAGGAAATTCTGACCGAATCGCCTTAACTACTTGGTATTCCTATATAATCGAGCCATCCCAACACGCTCTACAACACGAAATAATTCAGCGCTTCCAGTTGATTATGACTGATTAGGAGTATATGGCTAAACAGTGTTGTTTTGAGGTATAGCGAATTTTGTGGTTGATCGAATCACGTCGATAAGGTATTTTCCTACCTAAGCGTTCAGTTTTATAGATGCCACGAGGCGAATTATTTGCTCGAGACAGAAACAAGCCATTACGGTATAGGCCATGATTTCAGCAAAGTACAGAAGCTGACTAATCGACTGCGTTTGGCAAAAAAGTGGAGTGCTCTAAAACATTTCGATGTTTTCCTCTTCTTTTTTCTATTGTTGTTATACCGTCAAAGTTGTTCCATACATTATGCCTTAACAACTTCACAACCTTCTCAATCAATAGGTTCACGCCTTTGCTTCTGGTTTGGAAAGAGTCACTTCCATGTGGAAGCCATCTTCGGCAAAAACTATTCCATCTGGAGGGACCACTCAACTCGATAAAGAGTCAAGATTTGCTTGCGATCAACGTGACATTGATTATATTTCGACGGTTATTTTCCAGAAGACTTTGTTTCAAAGGCTACAAGTGAGAGAGATGGCATTGACAACGCGATTAAGATTTCATGACGATGTGATTCCAGGTTATAGGACCAACAAAGACGACATTCCTGTGTCGTGTTGTTGAGAAACGATTGATACAGCAGAGTTTGGTAGATGGAATGGAAAGAATGCCACGGAAATTGTGGATGACTGTGGTGATTCAGGAAGACCCCGTGCTCAGCAGCAGGTGCTATTTCATTCCTTCACAAGCATCTTGATTTCCATTACATCCTGGTCGTGCGGCCTTCATATTCGTCTTCCGCAGTTTGCTTTCCATTGTTATGGCTATGTTGTTAATTCAGGTGTGCTCATTTATTCTCACTCAGCGTTTCAGTTTTTATAGCGATGGTCATCCCGTGNATTTTTTAAGACCAGAAACGAGTTCATTACTGTCTGAACTGCTGACTTCGTATGCCTTGAGTTAAGTCTTCCGTTGTTGAGGTTGAGCTGAATTCAACTTCCCGTAAAGGAAATCCACAAAGACAGTTTACAGCGTGCAACACTACGCTTCTGCACGACTTTCACTAAGGTTCTCTGTTGCAGTTGTAATCTTGCGCAAGTTCTCATAGCATCCCCATTGCAGCGTGTCCAATCCGGTGCTAAGCTATCGAAGTGTTCATATTCTGCTGCTGTCAGTACTGGATGCGGCTACTGCAGGGTTCGCTCAGTTTTCCCCAGGTTCACCTTGCTGATTAATCTTCTAATTAATCTATGGAGAACTCTGTTTCTGTTCTGACTTTCACTAGTTAGCATTACTTCATTTGTATGTTGTTGCTCTCTCGTGGATTCTAGTGCGAGGTTGCAAATTTTCAATCGTCTGAAGTGAGCCACTATTTTACAAAGGCCACAAACAACCGTCGTATAGGAAAAGCAGAAGAGGTTGAGTTGCGATTTCAGCAGCTATCAACATGCTGGAGATGTTGTCGTTGACCTGTTTTCTGATGCGCTGAATTTGTTTGTATCGTTGTTTTAGAAAAGTGTGTTCCATTTGTTACTTACCTACTATTCTCAATAAGCTGGCATTATAGGTGTCCTTCAAAACAAGGACAAGAGCAAAAACTAGAGGTGCCATCTCCACCATTCGCTCCGTTCTGAAATCGATATCAGGAATGTCCACATTTCGAAAGCGTTGAAGCGTTGTTGCTTTTTATACCTGTGTTATTTATGAGGCCGTATCCCTCTCGACATCAACTTCATTGCTCAGTGAATTTAGTTATCTCCGCTCCAGATATTTATCTCTTATAGTTAGCTTCTGTGTGTTTTCATCTCGTTCGCTGAAAATACTCATTACCGTCTACTTCTCTGATATCGCCTCTTGATATATTTGGCAGTCCTCGTAGCCCTCGTTCACTCTTGTGGCGTTTTTCTCAGGACTGAATTGTTTTCTTCTTCTGTAATGTGGCTTCAACCTATGCAACATCCATAGTTTTCTTTTTTAAAAACTCGTGCTTCCTTAATCGCGAACCGATGGGAAAGCTTCTATTCCAGGAATTTTGTGATTGGTCGGGTCATCACCACTTTCAAACGTGTGTTTTCTTGAACACAATAAGCATCCATAAGTCCTTACGTACTGCAACAACTGTAGTTCATTGATTTTGCGTTCACGTTATATGACATTTTAAAGAACAAACTTGGCTCTTGCTTTATGTTTTTCTTTATCCCCATACTATTTTGTTGTCAACGCGTAGTAATGGATGCGAACCTGGTTGCAAATGTCCTCGACGAAGGTAGTAACGTAAGAAATGAAGGGGGTTTTAGGAGAAACGATGCCACCGACGACGTTGTACTGCAGCTTGCAGATGTATGAAAGCGTAACCGAAAAACATCTAGGATGGTCATAAGGGAAACTGTGGCAAGTTCTTGTGAATTGTATGAAAATGACTTATAAAAAGCATTGTGAGGTTTTTTTGCACCACAAATCAATACCGTTTTTCTATCACGATGTGCTTTGAAAATTTTGTTCTGCACGAAAACTGACGGAATACAGTAGCTTCATAGAGACGAAACATGTAGAAAATTTTTTGATGTTAAGTTTAGAATAGGATTGAAGCCCTTTTCTGGTTCACAAATGAGACCATGCGGTAGAAATTGCTTCGTAAGGAAACCATTGCACTAGGAAATATTGTCAGCCTCTTGACCAGATGCATCGAGAGTTGAATTGTACTGGAACTCTACTGGTCAGTCGAAAGATAGCAATTGCGCTGCAAAGTGACACTGGATGAAATGTCGCAAATCCAAAGTAGGAAAAGCTGGATTAACTGGAGTGCAAAGCTAAGCCTCGTACTGAACTTCCCATAGATGTCTCTTCTCTTCATCAACTACTCGCCACTTTCTGAGCGCATTGTAAACTGCTTGCTGAAAAAAAAAGGTCAGCAGCTACGTCGCTGTAGAAAATAGAAAATACCTTCAAAATCTTGGGCAAGAGAACTCTAGAATTTTACAGTGGCTTAATCGCTCATCGAAAACCTTTTCGCTAAGAAAGTTTGCTACACGGTTAGACACATGCAGATTTTGCTTTAAAAGTTGAAAAAGGTTTTTTAATTCTAGTGGCCTAATATATTTCGACTTTGCCAGTTTTAACTTGAAAAATGTGAGACATCCGATTTCGAAGTCCCGTGAATTAGCTCGAGCTACTGCGAATCTTCTCGCACCTGGTTGTGCTGCTTCCTCAGTGAGTATCCCTACTGGGATGTCGTTCTTGTATGCTTTCTGCTTTCCGAAATTTACAAAGTGACAGTTCAGTGATTATAAAGTGATAACAATCAGTGGTTCTCTTTTCTCCAGAAGAACGTGATGCCGCATCCGTTCTCACTACAGCAGTTTGGGCTTCGCAAGATGAGGAACTTCGGAGAAACACTTCGGAAGAAACATATATGTTCGTTGATTGTTTTAACGCTTTCTCTTTTTTTTATTTTTTTACTAACTTGTTTATTTCCTTCTTTTGTCTATTTAGTGTGTTTCGCTGTTCACCCATTTCGTGCAGAGGCTTGGTAGCTTATTCTTAGTACCAACCGCCATGTTCATTTCTGATCCCAACATTATGAGTTATATGGGAAAATTTTAAAGAGTCTTATTGAGTTTTTAAGAGTGTTGATGTTTAGAACTATTTATAATCTTGGATATAGATTGTTTTATTTATATTATCATGGAATATGGTCTATCTATTTATTTGTTTGCATCAAATTTCGGATGCGAAGTACACGCTGGTCTCTACTTTTAGTGGTATTGTCCTTCTCAAAACGTGTTTTTTACTAATATAACTTATATAACTGATATGTGGTTTATTTCTTTATTCTTCTCTCCTCGGGAAACTCTTATGTTCAGCTTTGAGAGAGGGACTTCAGGAAGGCGAGCTAATAAGCTGAGATAACCGGTTATTCTCGTTCTGTGCTAATCCTTGGGTCTCTGAATCCTTGGGTATGGGGAGTACGACGTTCTTCACACGTTCTATTGGGTCCAATTTTAACGTTGAAATCGCTAGTGCTGACCGTATGGAATGCATAGTTTTCTCTGCAGAACTTTCCCATTTGCACACAGAATGTTTCGACTTCGTCTTCGTCATTTCCTCATGTCGGTGTATAGTTGATGGTAGTCATTGTTTGAATGGTTTTGACGTCAACACGCCGATTTTTCTTATCGTATAGGATTTTATAGTATTCTCCTTCAGAAGACGCTAAAACTTTTTAATAACAAAGTATGTGAGCGATCGAAGCCGGCTTCGGTCGGGTCGGCGGCTCGCTGAGCGGACCGTGATGTTGAAACGGACCGAGTGATGTCGTTTGTTCGATGTTACCGTGCATTTCTTTTTTTGCTTTGATAATTGTTTTGTTATTGACTAAATTTGCGGTTGAGTGAAATATGTTGATGAAATTCTGAAATGGTGGATTGATCGCTAACTCTAACGACGGATATTCTTCTGCGTGTGAACACAGGTTGGTTCGATCGATCGGATTCAGTTTTATAGTCATTCGGTTTCGACGAACGGAACACTCCAGCGTCTGCTCTAAGATGATCGAATAGGCTGTTTCGTAGCTCCAACTTGTAGCCACTACCGTCAGGATGTAAGCGAATAATACACAAATAACATCGTCTGCCGCTTGTGTGACACCAAGATGCAGCAGAATAGCGTTCTGCACACTATATGCAAATTTTTTGGAATTTTCAAGAATTCATAATAGATAGTCGTTATCCTCTATGTATTCTACCCAAAACGCCAGTGATGAATCATCGAACTCGTCGTTTTTAAGCAAGTTACCATCGTGATAATTTCAAGACCACTGTAAGCACCTGCTAAGTGTCCACCAATAATTGCCAGACTACCGCCATCGGTGATAAAACGACGGATCCTAAGACATAGTCGGAAACAATTTTCTTCGTGCAACTATACGATCATTAACGAAAAGTCGTTGACTTGAGCATCTTCTAATTCATTTGATTCAAGCGCATGAAAACATCCCGCGCCTGACAATGTAATAAGGGGCCTTCCATGATTGATATGGAGACTACCGATCTTATGATTGGATTGCTCATTACAACGAGATTGAATTATTTTAGAAGTCTTTTCTTGATCAACACATCGATAAAGTCGATATGAAGATAAAGCGCACAGGAGACCCGATTCGGATGCGTTTTCATAGGAAAACACAATTCTCTTTTGAAATGCTGAGATATTTGCGAAACACCGGACCGCAGGTGTATGCGGTGGGGAACGAACATGCGCTGTTGTCCTTACCGGAGAGCAGCGCATTTCACCACCACACCATCCGGGTCCTTCGTCTAGCCTGTCTCTCAGCTAGTTCTTTTCTCTTCTCTTTCTGTTCTCTTTGTTGACCTGAAAGTGTAACATTGAGTAAAGGAGTCTTATCGTTCCGTGATTTACTTAACAGCGTTTTTGGTGTTCTTTCAGGATTGAGATGTGCCCTAGTGCTCTCCTTTATGGCTACTACCGAGTCATCTGGAAGAGCCACAGAAGCAATTAATTAAAGCTGAGTTTGATCTGGAAAAGATGGGTCAATATCCATTTTGGGCAGATTAATGTTTGTCACCTCTAAGTAGTTGTGTCGTCACATTCGTTCGGTTTCTTTAAACTTGCTGCAACAGTTTATGTATCAGAGTGTTTGTTAGTTAGGAGATTTTCGCTAAAAAGTTATAATTGTGAGGAAACAAGTGATTCTGGTCAGCGATCTATGTGGATGGTAATTGATTTGATCTTCTATAATTACTAATTGGCAGATTGCTTTGCCTCCCAACGGTTTACAGCCTCATCATGGCTAGGAGGTGTTCCTGGATGTCGGGCTGCGATGTACAGTGGGAGATTCATCCTCCCAGCATGGCCTCCAAAGCTGAGAAGGAGTCCAGAGTTTCCAACAGAAAGCCCAGCTTAGAGTAAACCAATACCAAGATCCACCACCGTAATGGTATCAAACTGGCGGCCATTACCTGTGGTGATGACGACCTGGGTCTGGCTTTGGCTAGGCTAACCTCGGGACTTCAGGGAACCACAATGGCTAAGCCAGTAAAACTCCGAAAAGTGGAAATTATGCTAGGGTCCGCACAACCAGTGAACTCGAACCATCCAAGTATTCAAGTAAAGAAGTAGGATTGCTTTGTTAGTTATCAAGCGGAAAGCATTAGATCTATAATGTACGTAAGGGGCGGTTTATTGCAATGTTCTAAGCCATACCATTTGACGATGCAAATAGAAAGAACTCTTAGCTTATATATCTTATATTTAAGAAACAGGCAGTCGTATATGTGATATTTGACCCAAACGTTATAGGAACAATGCATTCCGTCGATCGTAACTGGTTTATACTACGCATAGTGGACCACTGGCTGTAGATCTACGCCGCAATTTTCGAAAATGACGTGTGGTGTTGTTCTGAATCTGTTAAACACTAACGATTACAGTGTTAAGGATGTTACGTGCACCTGCATGCGAAAGACTAGCTCGTGCTTTGCAGGAATTTGAGGGTTCGAGTAAGTACATTTTTAGCCTGCTTTAATGTATGGTCATCAATTGTGCTAAAATTGTAACAAAAGTGAAAAATTGTGGCTCAATATAATGTACCCATTCAATTCAACCGCCTTCAAAGGCAATAGTGCTTCAATTAAAAAATTCTTAAGAGACAAAACAGTTTAGGACGACTGTTGGCAGAAGCAATTTGGATGAAGGAGCGACTTGGTCGACGTGCAAAGTCGGTTGACGCTTTGAAGCGGTGAGAGCACAATCCTCATGTAATAATAACGCCTGAGCGTTTGTTCTAAGCCGAACGAAAGGCAGTACTTTTATGTTATCATTCCTCTTTGTGATAAATTCTCGAACAGATATTATTCAGTTCGAGAATGGTTTCAAGCAGCTATTATCGTCGTCCATGGCAATGGAGACGCACGCGCGCACTGTTGGAGGTTTGAAGTGCTGCTAAGCACAGAGGTCTTGTTGTGACATTTTTTTGGTGTTTAGATGGTTCAATGCTATTCTAATACCATTCTCTGCCATTTCTTTGCACTCCTTATAAGCACTATGCGAACTTCACCATTGTCACACCAGCTCATTCGTTAAGGCTAAAATGATGTTAACTAAAGTCCTGCGTTCTTGCTATTGCATAATAAACATACTGCAGTTTTTGTCAGTTCTCATGTAATCAGCACTTGTTGTTAATATAGCAGTTGTCTCGAGTACTTGCGATGTTTATAAGTGCTCTACTTCGCTGAGTCGTCTTCTTCATTCCTAAAACAGCCTTGTCACCCACAACGCATTTTCGTACTGCGATCAGGTAAATTCTTACGCTGTTGTAGTTATAGTAATATTATTACGTGAACAGTATTTCCTAATCATAACTCATGAAGTCGAGCATTCCAACCACAGTTGGCGCATAGAGTGGCTGCAGTTAGTCTAGAATAAGCTGAATTGCTTACAAACCAGTAGAAAATGAAGATCAAATCCTATGTCAACACTTCATAAAGTTCAGAGAATCACAAATGGAGCTCTTAGTTGGCGTGGAGCATTCATTCATTGAACACTTATTTAACGCTGGCAATGTTTCTTGATCTCCGCGTGGCAATTTGCTCATGGAGCACAAATTTCAGACATATCTAGCGCAAATGGAGCCAATTTTTTTTTAACACACATAAAATAGTGATAGCAATGGCAAGCAAAATGACATTGTAAAAGACATGGTGCGCTTATAGTAATCCCATTAAACCCCAATTCACAACATTGCTCTTCACCAACCGTTGTTAATGAATCAACGAGACATCGGTAGGCCACAGCGAGCCACTGGAAAGCCCAGACAAAGCCTTCAATCACATCCAAACGATGCATAATGATGTCGAATTTATGGCACACCCTTCAGGGATTGGATAGGAGGGGGAGATCAACGCCGAGAGTTTTATTCCTTATTATTTATGCCGCCACTTGTGGGAAACTGCTGCCAAATGTGATAATCCAGAGCACGTCGTAGCAATAACTCAATAGGTGGTCAAGTAAAAAATATTCACTACTTATTCAGAACTTGACTTGGATTCCAAAACCTTTCAAAAAACACAAATATACCTGAGGAAAAACAAGTTGTTATCACCGGACATTATCATTATATCGACCATCAGCATCGTGTATAAAAAGGGCATCACTGAGTGAGGATTCCTCACTCGAGGAGATGGCTCACTGAGGAAGACCTGACTTGACACGAAGGCGAAGCTGCCACGTCGAGACGAATAACAAGCATGGACCATCGACTCGGATCATCGGCTCTGAGGAAGACGAAGACGTCGAAACGTTAGCCGAAAATAAATATCATTATCAACCTCGTGTAAGCTTATCAAAGAAAGAATACATACAAATATACCGTTCGAGATTTATTTTAATCACAGTTAGATAGACATAAACCGGCAGATTTTATCGAGCAAATAAATGGATGGGACAGAAACAGCACAGTCACTAACAACGAATGCAGTGAAAAAAGAGTCAACTGCTAAGCCTGACTCCCAGAACATTTCCTAGATCAGATCTAAATCTGGAAGGAATAATATTTCGCACACAAGAAACCTATTACAGACACAGTCTTAGTTAACATCCACATGACTGCATGAGAGAAATTTGAGATGCGGTAAAATCAAAAACAAAACTGAACGTCTAGCGAGGAGAAGCTCATGTTAACAACTCGAGTTCCCACTTTTCACGGATTGAGATTTTGAATTTAAAAAAGGCTATAATAATAACTGCGAAAGTTGGCAAGCGGAAAAGATAAATAGCTCGCTTACTATACTAGGCAATCCTATTTCGCTCAAACGCTGAATGGGACACCGAATATCTCGGAGTCGAAAGCCATCGGTTTTATTTGCTTCGACAACTGCGATGATCTATTGAAAATCAAAGAGAAACTCGTAAGAATGGAAGGCAGTTTCATGCTTCTCTTCTTTACTCGAGTACAGTCAAAAGCTCCCACTAGCGGTTTGACTTTTCTTCCACGAAAAACAAAAAAGTTCGCAGAAACACTAAGGCAATCTCAACTATTCTCATAAAGACTTGAGGTTTTCGACGAGCATTCACATGTTATGCTTCCTTATAGATATTATCGACACTTCTTCTTCTATAGAAACTTTCTCTAGTGAATCTAATAATTTTCAATTTCAAACACTGTGGCATGACTATCAAGTAAAATTGAAACGTATGGAAACACACCAGAGCGCCGGTCATCTAGTCCTCGCCCTTGTGAACTCCTTAACACGTCACTGAGTGCTTTGTCTATGCTCGAATCGATGCCATCATTACAAGTAGACCTGCAGGAAAAAAGCTGCTGCAAAAAACAAACGTAATACTTCCATTGCTGAAGAAAGAGCGCCAATTCTCCTTCACAATGTTCACATTCAAGAAATTTGCTGAAATTTTCTACAAACAGTATTCTTCTTCAGCTGGTTGAGATGCCATCAAAAAGGGTGAATGTTCGAATGGTGTCAGACACAGATTGACTACAATGTCTACGCTTGTCATGCTGCAATAAATGTGTTGAAAATCACGACAGGAACTTGCGTACAATGTGGAAATCTTCCTTTTTCTTCATGCAAACGAAATCATTGGAAAATGTCCGTGCTTGCCAATTAAGCATATGTAAACAGCTTTGCTTGTCTACTCTCTACAGAAACTAAAATTGAAGCGAATAGGAAAAGCGAGGAAGACGCGGAAAATTACGAAACGATTTGAAAAGGCGAACAACATCCTTTGAGAATACCAAACAACCGACCTAGGCTTGGAAATACGTTCCATAGTTTCATTTTCCACTTTCAAACCAGGAAGGAGCACTCTTCGTTGTTCGTTCAATCTTCTGGCTCGGCCGTTAAAGACTTGATAAAAGAACATCATTGAAATACAATACGGAAAGCATAGAAATCTTTAACTCTTTTAAACAGAAAGTATTCAGATGATATTTTGAGGCAAATGCGATACGAATGTTGAAAAACAAGCAGAAAGCGAAATCTTTCGCCATGGTAAAAAATCAATTAGGAAAGCAGGAAAAAACCAGAAAAGACGTAAAGTGAACGAGGGGAATTTTCTTATTTCGTCTGAACCATGTCCACCGATTGACTGACTCAACGAAGCATGGCATGCGTGAACGAATTCGTTGAAAGCGCTAGCAAAAATTACAAACACCGCGTTGTGGTAAACGACTTGCGACGCAGAAAATGAAGACGGCACACTCATTAGTTCTATTATCGTACCACTTTTTAAGACAACATGCGGCTTTTTCACGTAATGCAGTCAGAACATGAATTAGAAAACCGCAAAATTGAACTCAAGCTTGGAAAAACGCACCGGATTTGCTGTAGGCCAGAACTGTCCTCACTCTCGACAAGTTCGAAAACTAATATCTGTTTTCAAATGAATAATTTCACACTACTATTTTTCAACAGCAGGCATAAAAAGTGGGCTGGAGAGATTTAGTGCAACGGTATAAGTCTCATGTCATACACACACTGCCACTACTTCGATCCACAGCCTGGACGACCTTTGCTTCTGATTCAACATTAAGCGTTGTTTCCTTGAACACCTCAGAAGCAAGCTGAAGCATTTAGAACAAGAAAGAAGATAAAATTTTTTATCAACTCGTTTCGAGTTTGAAAAAAATTGATAAGTGGTATTCCGCTGATTAAAAAGACAAAAAGATGAAGCTATGGGGTTCTTCAAATCCTTAGGGATGCACTATGCATTCGAATTCAAGTTCCATCGCTAGTCGTCTATCTATACTCACAACTAATGTTTTTTCCCTTTTAGACAAGCTTTTGTACAATACAATCGAACTCCGAACTATAGATGGATTGGTGTGTTTAGTCCGTGGGATCGAGCCTAAGACCTCGTGTGTGTTGGAGATCAGCTCTAACTGCAGCGCTACGCGCATCTCTCTTAATCCATTACAAAGAAACAATGTCGCCAAATCTAATGCTGAGGTTTCGGTTGCCTGGATTTCGTTTGCAAGATTAATAATCTAGGTATAGTTTTCATTTTTTCAAATTTTAATCCCAAACAACTTCAAAACTGAAACAGCAGATTTGAGAAACTTCAACTCTTCAATTTCTCCAGTTATCAGAAAACTATAGGTCATTCAGAAAGGCAGATTTCGATTTAGTTGTTAAAGACGTCACAAAACACGGCAGTAGGCATCAGTTGGATATTAGGCCAGATTGGGTAGAGTCAAAACCCACATGGAAACCAGACAACGTTCTTTGATGAGAGAAGAATGACCTTGAACCGAACGAAAAGGTTGTATAATCGGCAGAATATGTGATGACAAGTCGTATAAGAAAGACAAAGGAAAACGAGAAAATGGAAACATTATTTACAACGCGTAGTATTATTTTGAAACCGACCTTCCCTAAACCTCGGTGTGACAAATCAATATGTATTCTTTCTTGATAAGCTTGCACGAGGTTGATAAATATATTTATTTTCTTTGTGCTAGCTGATAACACACCGACCTCTGCACGATGTGCGCAATGATGCATGTCCGGAAGAAATACAAATTGTTACCACCGGACATTGTCATTATATATCTACCATCAGCATCGTGTATAAAAGGGCATCACTGAGTGAGGATGCCTCATTCGAGAAGATGGCTCGCTGAGGAAGATCTGGCTCGACAGGAAGGCGAAGACGCAACGTCGAGGTGAACAACAAGCATGGACCATCGACTCGCATCACCGGCTCTGAGGAAGACGAAGACGTCGAA